ATTCTTGTACAGTATATAGTGGCCTTGCTGTAGTAAATACAATATTTACATTAAGGGTTCACCTTTCTATAATTAGGAAATCGTATTCCTAATATAGTCGATTTTTTGAAAAGCAATTCAACTCTAATGAAGTCTAGAATGCTAGGAAAATATACAGATAATATATAGAGAAAACATAAGCAATATAGATTTATAATTCTATCATAGATTRCAAAGACTCATCTTTTTGTATGTATTGAATGAAAATTGAATAGTCTCCTTCACGATTACKTGCGCCATCTTGAAAGGTAGCCGTGCTTTTGCGTCGAAGCGAGATGACCGTTGACCTTGCAATGCTATAGATACCGGTGAAAAATTATCTGTARGTGTGAAGGAAGTTTTCTATCATTGCACGCTCAAGGATCGTCTCGCTTCGATGTAAAGGCACGGCTACCTTTCAAGATGGCGCAGGGAACCGTGAAGAAGACTATTACACTCTAAACGTTGTCTTAAAGAAATAAATTAATTATATTTTAGTAAAAGGGAACTGTATGATCTTTTGTCTTTTGAATCATTCCTTTTTACTGAATTAATTTTTTTTCTATGGCAGCCTTTTTACAATAAGGTGTATATCACAATGTTTTTAAGTCATCAGAAACCATTAAAAAATYAAAAAAAAGATTGTAAATTGCAAAATTTAATAAATTTTACGTAATCAGACTGTAAATACTCCTGATTCGAAATCTCTTTTACGCAACTCTAGCCTTAATTGAACACAATCTCTAACTATTTCTTTACACACAGACTGAGAGTTTTTAAATTACAACAGAGCTTCGATAGGAATAAAATTGGTGTTCCCAGAATCGACCCAGAATGCACCTTTCCTTTCCTCTTATTTGAAGTTCTCCTCTAAAGGGGGTCTTTTACTTTGATGGGGGGGGGGGTGCATGTGTACCCTGTGCTCCCGGCTCAACCTTGGGTGTGGACCTCTACTCAATAAATTTAATTGCCCTTATATTAGTTTACCCCTTACAGTGCAACTAAACCCTTTTAGAAAAGTCATTATATTCGAAGAGAACATAGTGCTAAGCACTTCTGCAAAGGAATTTGAAACTCGAAAATGCAAATTAAGTGACGAAGAATGATTTAATATTCTTTTTTTAAATTGCAAATGAAATTTCCAGCTCTTGAATATTACTGTGATCGCTGCTTTGACCATTTCAGCCAAACGCAAGATATCGTAAACAATGAACATCCTCCAGCGCAATTCCTTGGTTAACGACACTTCATTTGCATTTTCAATTACACCTTTTTTTAAAAACAACACTTAGCATTATATTTGCCTTTTTTAAAAACGATTTTCTAAAAGGGTAATTCAGTTGCACTTTACAAATAGCTTTTGCAATGACCTAACACAGCAGAGGTACAAGAGAGTGCTTCCGAACCAATTCAGTGATGTTCAACAACTGTCTCTAATGTGATGTCCAAATCTGAAAATACACACTCTTCCATTCTTTCAGCATGGTCCTATTGGACGTACAATATGCTTTGCTAGTTTTTAAAACACCTTACCTTATTTGGTGTACCGTATCTATATATGGATGTGAATACATGAACAATAACAACACATTTTATTCATAAGACAAACTACTAAGATGTTTACTGCACATGTGAGAAAGAAATTCAATAGCCTACATGCGGATTTTGCCTCATCATATTCGCACAAAGGAATCAAGACGATGCGTTGTGCATAAAGCTCAGTCATTGATGAAAAGACTATAGTTTTCACGTCTCAGTAAGTATTATGCACAGTGCCTCGACTTGATATAGCTATTTAAAAAAAGTTTGTCGGATAAAATGACCAATGTCAATGTTCGAACGGCGATTCCACGACCGAAAGTCGTCATGTGTTTTGCCTGTTGAAAGGCAATAACAACTGATTTGTACTGTAAAATGGACTGTGGTAAACATTGGCTCTATTTAGTCCATTTCTATTCAAGGTGAATCCAAACAGTGATTTTTTTTATCAACACACTGTAAGCATACTCCCTTTCGGTCGTGCAACCTCCCTTCAACAATTGGAGTTCGCCGTTCTCCCCGACAATGTTTTTTGAAATAGCAGTATATTGATTGATTTTGAATAGGACTACTGCGTTGAAATTCTCAAATCAGCTAATGTCTTATACGATGTAGAGATAGAAGGGATTGGCATAAAATCAGTATCATGTGGAAACGATCGACAAATCATCTTTCTATTGAACAATTTGATATAGAATTATTTGATGTATCAAATATATTCTATATAACGTTGTTCAAGAAATCTCCACTCTGGCCTGGTATGAAAAAGCACTGTTATACTTGGATAGTACTATATCTGTTCTCATTATGGACAGGTATGTAATTGACAATCCAAGCGACTGAGTCATGTTATAGTATATGAAATAAACTATAAATAGAATAAATGAAGAAAAAGCCACGCAACTTGTAACTTGGTTTTCTACTAATAAATAAACTATATATATAGTAACCATGTTGTATACTACATTCGAGTAGACATTACTCAAACATTATTCTATTCGATGCGCTGTTGTCAATGACAGCCGCAATCTTGATACTTTTGTTTCAATGCACTTGTACCGTGAAATATGATCAAAATAAACTGTACCTATTAGTGTCTATTTACTGTACTGACTAAGATCCTGTTTATATGAGATAGTAAGGGTGCCCCTAGTGGTATGGCCAAAATCTTTTGTTTTAAATCCTCCAGGAAAAAGGAAACAAAAGAGTTATCCCCGCCACGTAGGGGCACCTTATCTCATGCAAACAGGGTCTAATAGTAGATGCCACTGAACCAGAACAATTCATGACTCGACAACTTGACAACTTTATTTTATGTGAATTTAAATTCATATGCACACACATAGGGCAATTCGTTCTTATGCCATTTACATAAAGTCGATTTGACCACATATGAGCTGGCAATTAAACAAGCGTGCGAACCGCTATCATGGAAAGGACTGACATTATATTTCAAAGAAGAGCTAAACTTACTGATTTCTTTATTGCAGTTGTATCCAAAGTACTTTTTTGGACAATGGCAAAAGTAGCGGTTTAGAATGCTATCTACACACGTTCCACCATTTTGACATGGATTGCTTGCACATTCTCTGACATCTGTTAAGAAAAACAACCTCAATAAATCAATAAATTCATTGATAGACAGCAAAGTGAGGTTGGTGAATTGCAAGTTAGAGTAGCGGCTTAAAATGCCACCCACACACGTTCCACCATTTTGACATGGATTGCTTGCACCTTGAACAAAACATTCATTGATAGACGGTGAAGTGTGGTTGGTTAATTGCATAAAATCCAATTAATTAGAGGAATAACTGTGGCTTTTAATTTTTGACTATGATTGAGCTTAAACAGTATTAATCTATATTTTATTTGGTTTATCCTCCTGTTTTAAATCAACTCACATGGGACTTGTGTAGTAGTAAGAGCCTTGGTACTGGTCTGTATTGCAGTAGAAGGATTAGGTGTAGTACTGGTTAGTGTCTTTGTAGTTATAGTGGCTGCAACAAACAGTCAATGCAGAAAATGTTAGTAAGTTTTTTTTTTTTTTAAAGAAAATTCGGAATAAGAAAAATAATAAAATTCGGTGTAAGACTTTGGAACGCAATTCCCAGTTCTATCAGGGAATATCCAAACCCTCTGTTCAAAAAAAACTATACGGTCAAATTGATTTTACATGTTGCATAATGAGGAGAGCTAGCTATTTTGGAATTGACAGGGCTACTCAGCTTTTCCTGACTGTACTAAATAACTAATCACATAGCTGCAAGTATTCTAGCTTCTTGTCTACTACTCATCTGTAAATTATTATATTATTTATTGAATTAAACTTGTAAACTTGTAACTTGAATGCAGATTGAATTGAATTCAAATTGAATTCGTTCGCTACTCTCACTCGTGAGAGATCTTTTCAGAACTCAAAAATAAAATCCGTATCTTCGTCCATGTATTACATATATGCTTTACTGCATCCATGAAATCAATAGATTTGTTTATCTAGGAATAAACGATTTTTTTTTCACACACCTAGTGGAAAGGTTTTTCCACTTCCATCTTGCTATAGAACAATAATATTTGATATATTCTATATAGCGTTGTTCAAGAAATTTTCACTCTGGCCTGGTATGAAGAAGCAATGTTCTTATTCAATTTATTACATTGAAATAAGAGCACTTTTATACTTGGAGAGTACTATATATCTGTTCGGAGTATGAACAGGGTTGCCATTTGCAATCCAAAAAACGGAGTCATATTATATAGTGACCACCTTGCATAAGATTCGAGTAGGCATAACTCGAACATTACTATATTCAATGAATTGTTGTCAATACAGTCGCCATCTTGATTATTTGACATATTTTACGTCATGTACTGTATACGCAATGCATTATAGGATGGGTTTGGGACAAAACATGGCGGATCTCTTTTGTTTTCTCTAGAAACTGATCCCACAATGCATTGAACAGCAATCAGTGACGTAAAAGTTTCAGAAGTCTATTACAAC